TAAAAGTGGGATGGGAGCTAGTAGGAACAGATGGAAGTCTTCTTACATCCTGCTAGAATGCGCGGGTCACCACCCAAAGGATAGAACTCAACTCCAGCTGACTTGACAAAGTCACTAAAATTTATATGAGTTGCCAAACGAACATGATGACCAAAATCCTGCACATATAGCACCAGAATTTAGACATGAAATCACTGCACCCTATTTGTGGAAAAGGCCTTTTGAGGACCTCTAGCTTTTTTCTTTTCTTTATTTAAAATTTTATAAATTATTTCACATTTCTTTGCTGAATGAGCTTTATCATTATCTACCACAACTATCATTCAACATTTAAGCCTTAAAAGTCCAAACAAATTCTTGGTGAAGAATAACTGGGGCCATTTCTGGAGATATATGAATATGCACAGCAAATGACAAGCATATAACAGCACAGAATTTATATACATGCCTGAAGTTTCTTGGCAACAGCTACAAAAGGTTGAACATCTCCTCGTGTGCCAACAACAAGCATAGCTATCTTTAACCTTGGAACAGATTTTCTCAGATCAGCATCAATGCCATCAACAGCAGCAGAAGCACTTTCAGTAGAAAGAAGCCGTGACAGCTTTGAAACTACTGAATTACCATTAGTCAAATCCTCCTCCGCTGCTCAGTCAGTAAAAATAAGTTATTCTTGTCACATTGATTACAGTCAGAAAATTTGAAATTATCTATTTGTTACAAGACTTGAATGAGCAAGTAAGCCCCAATCAGCCATTCTCAAAAGAATTGCAATAATTTTCGCATTTACGTCTTTCTATTGTTTTTCTGACATTGGCACATGAAACATAATCATTAGAAACTACAGGGTACACCACTTAGCCTAATAGTGATAGATTAAGCAATATGCTTGTCAATTTGTTACACAAGATCATTTCATGGACAACAACTTGCATTAACTGGTTACTAGTAAGAGTTATAGGCAAGAAAAAGTTATGATGCTATCACATCTCTGCCAGTATTTTGAGCTTTCCAACCAATTGCATTACCAGCAATTATGGTTTGCGGCCACCACTTTCAATTTGAAGGATGAGCATCTCAGCATCCACCATCTCTAGTTATAGCCTTATAAGCCGAGCACAAACTCTTCATGCACTCTTGCACACTACCAAAATCCTTGTGGATCGGAGCAATATAAAACAAAAGTTGCACAGGGTGTACAACACTACATTCATCTACATTACACTATGATGCCATGATTGCCATCTCACTTATGTTGTAAACAATCTTAGCCTATCATTTTTGGTTTTATTCACCTGCCTGTTGTAAATAAGACTTTTGTAGGGTGTAATGCCCCTATGTTCTGCCTTCCTCTACATGATGTTTACGACGACATAAACCCTCACAATTTATGATTCATTAATATTATTGAGATTTGTCCTAAATGTGGTTGTTCTAACATAAGTCATTTTGCCTCATTGTAACAAAAACTGCCAAAGGCATAGTTCTCAACACTCCTGTAAATTAGCATTGCACCAAAAATTCTTGCCCCTCATAAATTCAATCATATCCTTTCTTGTAGGGTCAAAAAACTAGTTGGTGATCCACAAATGACTGAATTATTTTCTAATTGACACTCCATTCTATTGAAGATGATAAACATAATCAGTCATTAAAACTAAAGCAATACAAACAACTCAGCCACTCAGGTGCACTATAAGTCTATAACTATATTGTAGAATCAATTACTACTCAAATTAATATGTAAGCATAATATAACCCCTTCACTATTATAAATTTATAAATGCACCATAAAAATAACGGCCAAACTATTTTAGTTGATTAAAGTCTCGTTCGTGGGTGTAACTTCGTGGCTACCTATACATAAAAAATAACTAAATTAGACATAAATAGCAGAAAAATGCATACCTTCGGTTAAAATGCAATTGGAAGAACAGTTAGAAAGAGATGAGTGCTTCAGAAAAACCGTCTGGTCCCTTTCCTCTGCCACATTGTCAACTTCTTCAAAAAATTTCACCAAATTATCACTTGAATTTACACCCATCTTAATTCCTGGGCATTACACTATACCCAGTTCAAGATTCAAACTTTTTTTTTTTGGCAGTACAAGATTCAAACTTTAATCCCACAATTTTGCTAAATTTTGAATAAGAAAATGCTAAAAGCTGATTTTTTTTTTCACAAAATGGCAATACCCAGAAAGATTAAAGATTCAAACTTGACTAATACACAAGATTAAGACCCAATTTAGCCCTAAAACTCAAAAAAATCTCTTCTTTTTCCCCCTTTTCAAAAAAATTAAAATTGAAAAGTTGGGACTTTTGAGCAGAAAATCATGAAATTAAAAAAAGACCAAAAGTTTTGAAGTTGGAAAGAAAATTGCATACTAGGACCAGCCAGGTTGGCAACAACGAATATATAGGTGTCAAATTTCGAATCTTTTTTACTAAAATTACTGCAATTAAGCATCTCACATATGTTCTATTTATGCTAATTGGACAACAAATATTACAGTATTAAGAAACAAATTAAGGTTTGAATCTTATGATTTGACTCATAACATAAGTAGTGGAGTAGTAATACATACTCCTTAATTCATGCAGTCCATCATGAATTTTCATTTGCTAACTTGGTTAATTAGTCAATTTTATTAGTTCACTAAAAAACAAATTTGGGCGTTGAATAGTCAACGCCTTTGGTAGGATTCATCCAATGGGCAATGATAATCATAGAAACAGATTTGCATTCTAAGAATTTCAATAATTTGATTTTTTAAAAAAAAATGTTATTTCTTGCTTGTTGTTCAAGTTTCTTGTTGACAATGAATGAAACAAAATAAAAAACAAAAACAATAAAATGTGTTGTTGAATACTGTTTACTCCCTTAGAGCATTCACAATGGTTGTGCGTAAGGACCTACTAGTAATTTCTAAATAATCGTTAGCCACATGCTAGTCATTGTGGTCTTGTGGAGCTACAACCCTTTGTAGCTAAGCCAATCTATATAGTTCTATATATATTTCCACTCCACTCAACACATATATATTAATTTTTTTTTTTAAAAAAAAATCTGTATGTATTTTTTTTTATAATCTATTATTATAAAAGGATGTAGCTTAATATCACAGAGTTTGTAGTTTAAATCTTCTAGCCATTGTGGATGTGACAACTCAAAGCTACATATACATGTAGCTAGCCATTGTAGATGCTCTTAGTTTTTGTCTACTCCCTTAGTTCTAAAATAAAATAACCCAATCAAATTTGTATTATACCAATGTAAAATTTTAAACGGAGGGAGTAATATTTTAAATTAGGTATAAGCTAACGAACATCCTAGGACGTTGAATAACTAAAAGTAGATTTATTAAACTAAAATGTGCATTAATTATATCGATTGACATCTAATTTTAATATGCATTTCCAAATTAATACTACGTAGTCCGTACAACTTTAAGAAGTATTTTAAATGCTTATCTAACGTTCCAGCGCGTTCGTTAGTAAGATCCTTAGAGCATCCACAATGGTTGCGTAAAAGGACTTGCTTGCAATTTCTATATAATATAGAACTACATGCTAGCTATTGTGGAGTTACATAGGTTGTAAGTTATAACTAGGTAGAGCTATATAGTTTCACTCCACTCAACAAACATATATTGATTTATTTACTCCGTAATATTTTTGTATGAATTTGTTTGTTTATTTTTTTACGGTTTATTTATTACAAAAAGATGTAGCTTATCATTATAGAAGTTGTAGCTTAAATCATGTAGTTTGAGGATTAATGATGTGACAACCCAAAGCTACATGTACATATAGCTAACCATTGTGATTGCTCATAATGCAAACATTAATGTTGGTCAAAGTGATTCATGTAAATAATGCAAACAGTCAAATTGAACATTTATTTTGAAACAGAAGGAATACATTTACAATTTTACATCCAACCACCCTAAGAATTACAACTGTGCCCTTATTTTGTTTTTACCCCTCTTTCATTATACATCTTCACCCACTATTTCTCCAAACCTCTGTATTTTAATAATCACAACAATTTAACTACAACTATATAATTACTTTGATTATACAAAGTATTTTTTTTCCCAATATACGAGTATTAAAAATTTAAAACATATATAGTCATGAAAAATATTGGCCCTGTTTGGTAGTAAGTTTATTGGGGGGTATATTAGCTTATTTGACTAACTTTAACTGATTGACTAGTCAAACAAGCTAATACAAGTGTTTGGTAGTAAGCTTATTGAAAGAGCTTATTCCACTAAATAAGTTCTTTTTGAAAAAACTCATTTTAGGAGCTTTTTCAATTAGCTTATTCATTAATTATTGTGAAATGACACTTATAACCTCATTTAATTTAAAATCCTATCTAAACTACCTACCCAACAATTAGCTTATTGGTCATTTCACATACTCAACTACCTTTAAGCTATCAGCTATTTACCAAACACTTTTATATAATCAGTTAATACAATAAGTTAGTCAAATCAGTTAATAAAATCAGCTAGTCAAAATCAGCTAACTCAATTAGATTCAGCTTTCAACTTTCTCCCAAACAAGACCATTTTTTAAATTAGTCATCTTGTACAGGAATACTGCTCAAGTCCTGACCATTAAAGTATTTACCCAAGTCTCCGACTCTCCGTGATTATGCTAGTTACTGTTATAAAGTATGATTTACAGTTTAATGTACCTTAGAAGAATTAGGAGCTTCATTTACCTTTATAATAAACAAAATTTCCTGTATTCCTTCACATAGATTGAACTCGGCAACTATTGCTAGTTTGCTACCCTATATCATCGTCGATACTGTGGTATGTGAGAATTATAAGGAACTGCTTCCGATTTAAGGAACTGCTTTCAATATGTTGAGATCAACTTTATCCTTCTTTAAGACCATATTCAGTCATGGTGGTCTTCAATCTCCTTATTCACGGATCATCAAGTCCCAAATGCAGTCGCATACCATCAAGGCATCAACCTATCTTCGTAATAATGGTATTTTATGATTTCCAATTGAACACAACATGAATCTTATTGCTGATGTTTCGAAACTTGCAATAACTGGAATCTTCTGCACATAATTACCACCCAAAATTTACAGATGCTTTTACTAACTACACTAAGATGATTCAGCTAAGAGCAGCCAACCACAAACGAAATTATATTTGCTCACTTATATTCTATTAGGAGTTACTAATACTAACAGTCAGGTTAGATGTTTCCCCTTGCACATGAACCAGGGGCGCTTGTATTGAGAGAGCATCTAGCTAAGCAAACTTGTGCATCAACAAGCAATGACTTGTATTCCACTGGGATTTTCTATCCATCCACATGTCGAGAATAGCAGTGCATCGCAATTGATGTAAGAAATGCTCTCACTCACAAACAAGACTTCATTGATGAGATTGCTCGCCAATCGAATACAAAGTACAACATTCATTCCAAGGGACTACCACTGCATTGAACGAACTCTCCTCAAAACACGTGGTGGCCTTTTCTTCTCCACAACTGGGACTACTTTTTCCATGAGCTGCAGAGGAGAGTTAAGTCAGGTATCAGAAAACAGAGTCTTAAATTACAGAAGTGATTAATATGGAGTAAGTGATAAACGCTTCCTACTGCCCACTTTCACCTCTGCATGTAGATAGACTTGGACACCCTAAAATAATCTAGTAGTTCAAAGAAATTTAAAATTACAATGAGCAGAGCAACAAGAGCTTTTACAGTATGCTCATGAGCTAGTAAAGGGAGGGAAAAACAACACAGAAGATGGGTCACCTCTCCTCACTAACCGAAAAAGACACAAAAAGGAATAAGAAAATGACCAACATTGTAGTAAAAGCAATATGAGATGAATGTAACATTCATGATGCATAAGAGCTATTGAAAAGTATGCTCAAATTATGATTACAATGACGGTTGAAATCAGCTTATCCAAAAACAAAACCACTACTGGAGGTTTCTTCCACCTAAAATGACTCAAGCAAGATGGGAGAATGCATGGATTACATCACAAGGAGATAGGAGTCGAGGTGGTGATACATCAAACTTGCAAATGATCAAAAAGTTTGCATTCTTTTCAAAGCAAACCAAAAACAAAAGTTTCAGACTCAATATAAAAATAAAAAAAAATGTATATCGGTGGTTAGTGCAGCTCACACACATACACAGAACAAAAAAGCTTATCTGCTTACATGATCTTAACACCCATTGATCAGGTAACTCCCAAGGCAGAATATAGCAATAGGATGGAAGAGGTAGGCATCTCAATAATGACCAGCGTAGACTCATCCTAGAAAAAGAAATATGGTTTCTTGTAGACAAGAACCGTAAAATTCTTAATTTTTTTTTATAATCAAATAGTCTAGACAGTAACAATCCAATTTTGCTTTTGTTTGGACACTTAAGGTACATATTCCCTAACATGTACATACCAAACAAGAGTAAGGTTGAAACTGAAAGAAAAACACTTGCAAACAGCTTAAGAGGGAGCTCACTGAACACAAGCAGGTACGCTATGGTCATATGGCCAACCAACACATTTAGATTTCTGCTTTTATGTTTTTTTTCCCCTTTTCCTTTTAAGGTCACTCAGTATACTATTTCTTAAAGGTCAAGTCTTCCACCTGTGCACAGTATCTGAAAAACAACTAGTTCATCCAACTATCCACAGTTTAAACCACCTCCCTCTGCCCAAACTACACATCCGAAAAAGCAAAAAAAAAAAAAAAAAAAAAAAAAAAAAAAAAAAAAAAAAAAAAAAAAAAAACACTATACAGGTAAATCTTCACTTCCAAATAAATTCATTAAAAAGTCCTATGAGTCTATGACTAATAAATCTTATAAAACATGAGCCTTGGTATTCCAGCGGTTCATTATTGCATCATCATTCAATTCAAGTCCTTAAGACCCACTCATTCAAAAACAGAAGGGCCAGTTATTATTGTCAAATATTGATTGAAGCTACAGTCGGTTAAATATCATCACCCACTCTTCAATCTATATTGCTACTCAATTGCCTAACAAGTTGCCAAAATTTATAGATGCCTTTCTAGACATGTATTCCAACCATTAATCAACAATAGATCTAATAATCAACAGTCTGAACCACAAAATTATTCAGTGAGTCATCAGCTAGCTAACACTCGAGTATTTGCTTACTGAGTATATTGCAAAAAGGGAATTGCCGCATATCTGGCTAATCAATAAAATTGATGCAAAACGGGAAAGGTTTTGGTACTCTTAACAGCTTCTTCATTGTAAATACTAATTTCATATAAAACTGGTGCACTTCTCAAAGGTGAACAGACAAAAACTAATTTCATAAAGATCTATAAAGATCTACATTCACTAGTTACCAACCAGACTGCTAAGCACAAAAAATTGACTCTCAAATATATAGCTAACAAAAAAATCTCAAATCACCTGATCTACTAGCCTAAACAAATAGATAGACTATTCAACTAGCCAGGTAACTATAATCATCCAAAAAGTCTATATTTTAAATCTGTTACAATTTTCAATGTGCAAATACCAGATTTTCAAATTTTACAGCATTAGTCATCATTAAAAAATAATAATAAAAATATATGATGATAGCACTTGCTTTAGATCTTGCAATAACAGTAAAATGACACGTATCTCACGCGAAGTTCATCAAACAGATTAGATTTTCATTCATATTAAAAATAGTACATTAGAATAATTACCTGCTTCAACCTTTCATTTTTCCGCTCTGCCTGCATGACGATAAAAAAAAAAACCACCATTAGATGCAAAAAAAGGTATTTCAATACTTCATCCATCCCACAAGTCACTATTACAATCTTAGTCTGTAATCTGTATCAGGACGCTGTTAATTTCTTAAAATTGTAAAGATCTAAAGGTTCCTAATTCACACTCTACCCAAAAAATAAATAAATACTACCTCCGTTACAAGTTATGTGCAACGATTAGACATTTCCCCTCTCTGCTTTATGTCAAATCGTTGCACATAACCTGTAACGGAGGTAGTAAATAAATAAATAAATCCTACAATGTCCATTCCAATAATACATACTCTCTTTGCCTGCACAATATTCGTTACACTTGCCTTTGGCACAAAATTAAGAAAAGTGGATAGCAAGAGTAACTGAGAAAGTGTGGGATTGAATAAAGAAAATCTAGCCTAGATAGGAGAAAGTATGGGGTTGGAGAGAGAGTTCATAAGAGCAATTTTAACTGAAAAAGCATGTGTGCAATAAAATTTAGTCAAAACTAAAATGGGACGGAGGGAGTATATTATGTTGATCAAGTTTTTGGGTGATATTGAAAGTTTTTTTTTTTTTTTTCTCAAATTTCAAAAAGTGTAGCAAGCAGAAGAGCATGATATGGAGACAAAGATAGTTCAATTACTGTCATTCGTTATAGAAGATGGGGATGAAGCAACCCTCTGTCCTCACCACCCCCTGGCCCCAAGATATAATCACATAACAAGCTTAAAAGAGCATAATGCAATTTACACTTTCTTTCAACTTCAAGACAAGATATTACTCCCCCCGTCCCAATTTACTAGCTCCATGGCTATTTGCAAAGGATTTTATGCAAATAAAAAGTAGAGATAAAAAAAATAAAAATAAAATAAAAATAAAAATAAAAATGAGAGAAATAATTATTTTAAATGGAAATGGAGTACGTAAATAGGGATACCCCAAATAGCAAAACATAGCAAGTGAATTGGGACGGAGGGAGTAACAAGGCAGAAATTTCTAAACACAAGCCCATAAACAATAGGGCATACAGGAAGTCAGATACAGTCTTAGATAATTAGTACAAAAGATCACAACCCAGGCAGGGATGATTGCCAGGATTTTGGTTTGGATCATGTCGACAATCTTGACATTCATCATATGGAGATCCATGAATTACAGCACACCTAATAGGAAACTAAAATCATGCAACTAAAAATGATAAATAATAGTTCACAATATATAAATGGTTTTTGTGTAGATAGACAAGATATAAATAGTTCCCAAAAAAAGGGAGAAAAGGGAAGCAAAATTACTTCATAAATGCACTAATGCATCATATGCAAGCACCTGAGAACATTGAAGGCTATTTCTAACAAACGACCTCTAATTTTTTTTTTCACCCACTTACTATCGATACAAAGACCAAGGAGAATGAGAGAGAGGTACCACCCATGTGGGGTATAACAATTATTTCAGAGAGTGAAAGACCAAGGCATTGTTAAATGGTTTAATTACATCCCATGAATGGACCAAGGGAGGGCAAACAGAAACATAATTTTCTTACAAAAGTGGGTAAAACTTAAAAAGATGAAATAAGAAAGTGGGAAGAGCAAAAACAGAACAGAGAGAGTATCAATGTCAAGTTCTTGGGTAATTTGACAAGAAACATCAATAAAAGCCAACCCAGATTCTTTGGAGGGAAAAGGAAGCAGGGGTGCTTAATAAGGTAATACCAATTCCTGTACTAAATGGCAAACATATAACAAAGATATGCAAAGACCTGTATACTATACAATCGTGAAGTACGTCAAAAATAAAAAGATATATGACCATGTAATAGGAGTCATATTCTCTTTTGAGGGGGTGGGGGGGGGGGATTGTTGGCCTTTATCAATTCTAAGCAGTTTAAAATGCTTTTAGGCATAAAAGGCTCAGGCCAATACAAAATCAAAGCTAGAATAACTCAAATGCCACTATCATAGTACATTGCTGATTAGGTTGAGTTAAGAAGGCCTATTATCAAACTGTTATGGATTGAAATCATTGAATCATGGATGAAATTCAAAGCCAACTAATTATCAACTTATATCAAATATTATTGACAAGAAAAAATCTACTTCGTAATATTCTGCAATGAAATATATTCAATCCAACTTCTAAGTAGAGCTTTCAAAAAGAAACAAATATAATCGACAGGCAAAAATCTACTTCGTAATAGTCAGTAATGAGATATATTCAATGCAAGTTCCAGTAGAGCTTTCAAAAGGAAACAAAAATAATCAACAGGCAAAAATCTACTTTGTAATATTCTGCAATGAGATGCATTTAATCCGACTTCCAGTAGAGCTTAAAAAAAAAAAAAAAAAAAAAGAAAAGAAAAGAAAAGATAGTAATAGTTCCAAAAAGTGAACAGAGCACCAGTTCACTAAAAAAGATCCCACGTGATCGTATAAGAACTACCAAAGGTGGACAACTTGTTATGTCACTCTCTCACCATAATTTCCAATTCAGACAACTTCTTTCAGATTTCTCACATGCTAAAATATTGCTACTCCATCTAATACTGGCAAGCTGCATTTTTTCAAAAGGTCAGATGATTTTATCATTATATCATAATAAATTACAAAATGAAAATCTCACTCACATACTTCTTAAAATAAATTTAGAAATGTTAACTCATCATCAGCATTACCATTTACCAAGTTCAAATGCCGCCTATTATTATAAAATAGAGATGCAATTAGCAACTTGACATTAAGAAGCATTTACTGATATCTTGTGAAAGCATTTGACAGCTAGTGGAGGACAAACCACAACTTTTGGAATATAAGTACAGAGTCTGATACTTAGATATGTCCTTAAAATTTTAGAGTATCACTTTATACATTTGATACTGAGAATCACAAACTACATACTAAGCATCAGAAACTACATTTGACACAGGCCACCTTTCTAGTACCAAGTGATACCTAACCAGCAACCAGCCAAATCATACCAAATCCTCCTTTCACAGACAAAGGGAGCATAAAATTAAGATACTAAGTATAACCGTTACAGGTATATAACAATGCATACAAAAAGTCATAAAAGAATATCTCTAGAGTCTAGATCAACTACTGAATGGCTAAGCAACTTAAGGTTTAATTTTTAAAAAAACCATGGCACCTTGAACAAGAATTAGTACAAACATAAAATGTCAAGCAACAAAAGTTTAATTTCAAGATCCTACCTTTTCTCTCAATAGTTGTTCATTCTCCTCCTCCAACTTCATAGCCAATGATTCCAATTCAACTTGATAAGCCTACATGGCAATAACAAAAGAATCAACTCACACTCTTTATCTCAACACTACATACTTGGAATATCCAATGTTACCTAATTCCCTAAATCTCCGCGGACTACAATCTAAAACAATGGATCCCTTTTTTGAACTAATACAACAAAATCACGTATTGAGAATTGTATTCCCATACTCATTCCGGTACCAAAGCATGCCATGAAATAGATAAACACTCTACCCACCTAAGTAGAAATGCTCGTGATACATTTCGGGCATAAATTTATTCGTCTAACATACCATGCATATTTGTCACCCAAATATAATTTAGATTTCTATATAGTACATACCCACTTCCATAATTCAAAGATATACAAGTATATTCAATTAATTCTTCAATTAATTCTCAATTCCATCAAATATATAGAGAAAAAAATTACCAAGAATATAGAAAATTATACCTGCTTGCGCTCCCTAGACCTGGCAGCAGACTCCCTATTCTTGATCATCCTCCTTTGCCTCTGTTGAGCAGCCTTATCCAAAGGTTCCATTATTGGCCCACCTCTTCTCTTCCCTCTCACTCCTCCCATAACCTCCATCCCACCTCCTCCAACACCAACACCACAATTCCCATACGCCATCACACCACCAATCGAAACCGGCATCGGCCCCGCCTGCTGCACCGGCAAATAAGAACTCTGAACCAACGAATGATCAAAATCAAACAACCCACCACTACCCATCTTCATCTCCTCAGAAACCCCAACTTTAACATCCTCCTCCTCCATCTCCCCCGCCCCCGCCACGGCCGCAACCTCTTCTTCCTCCATCCCAGCCCCGGCTTTCGCCAGAAAATCCTCCAAAGTCATCATCTCATCCACTGCCTCAACCTTACACTCCTTCCTCTCGTTTTTCCCAGATACAATATCTCTCCAAACCTCCTCCACCGTCTTCCGCTCACTCCCCTGCTGCTGCCCTACCACCGCCGCCTCCTCCGCAGTAGAACCAATCGCAGAAATCGCACCCGCCGCATCAATCAACGTAATCTCAGCATCAAGCAACGCCGATTCCGGCGGATTATCAGGAGCATAAACTTCATTAATCCGGTGTTGAAGATCGGAATTGGTGAAATCAGGGATCATTTGAGAAGGCGAAGAAGAACGATTTCGATGAAAATGGTGATGATGATGATGAGAATTGAGATCCGAATTTGTAGAATTGGAGGTAGAAGGCATCACCTTAGATGACGCCATTTTTCCCTCCAAAATCTTAGGGATTATAGTTTTGGGGGTTTGATTGAAAAATTGAAGGGAAATTAAATTAGGGCTTTGATTTGAATGGAATTGAATTGAATTTTAGGTTTGAAAGTAAAGGGGGAAAAAGAGTGAGGATGATTGAGTGATGAAAGAGACAAACACTGTTTGATTAGAGAGAGAAACATCAAAACCGGGAAATGTTTGGGTTTTCTGGAAACTGCGCTTTTTATGGATTTTGTAACGTATTCCGTACATGGATTTTATGTTATACCGATTACTTTACTCCCAATTAGATATTGGTGTAGTGGTGATTGACTACACTTAATTGTGAGGACCTATTTTTGATCTCCATAATTTCAATTGGAAGGGAATTGAAACCTAATCACCCAAAATTAAAATACAAATTCTAGCAATATAATTTCTAGGAAAATTTATTAGAAAAAACCTTTTAAATGCCTCATTTTGCAAGAAAAAAACTTTTAAAAGGATCTTTGTAAAAAAAAAACCACCACAATCACTTTTTTTGTTAGATGAAACCTCCTCTTCCTTTTCCGGCATTGACTTAGTTTTTCCGACATTGACCCCTTATTTTCTATACTTGCAGCCAGTTCTAGGGTAATTTTCTTTCCTTTTTTTGGCTTACCAATTTTCCCTCTATGTATAGGATATATATTCTACATTGGGAAGTGAATTAGGGCAAAACTACACCACTCATTCAATTGAAAGGTAAATTGGAGTTTCAATTCTCTTTCTTCCACCATTGTAGTTGTTAATTCTCTTTCTTCCACCACTCTACTGGTCTATTCTCTCTCTCTTCTACCATTGTAGTGGTCAATAATCTTTCTTCAAATCTCTAACAATTCCGTTTTTTTGTCCAAATTTGTAGAATCCATGGTAAATTGCAAATGTGTTAAAAAAAACCCAATTTTGATATTATTTATAGCTATAATTTCATGAATTTACACTTATCTCAAATAACTGTTGCTCAATTAATGTTGTGTAGCAGAGGAGAGAGAGCCCAAATGATGTGATTGAAGTGTAGAGCATTTAGGGAAACATAGGAGAGAGAGAAGACATGACATTTACTTTGGAGGGAAAATAAGAGAAAATATCAAGAGAAGCTAGGAAGGAGTGTAAATATAAACTTAATTGGGTGTAAGTACAAAAAATAAGGGGTCAACGTTAGAAAAGCTAAGTCAATGCCGGAAAAGGGAGAGGAGGTTTCATCTAACAAAAAAAGTGACCGTGATGGATTTTTTTTTATAACAAAAATCCTTTTAAAAGGTTTTTTTCTTGCAAAATGAGGCATTTAAAAGGTTTTTTTTTGACAAATTTTCCTAATTTCAATTTAAACTCTTTAAAGTTTTATTAAAAACATAATCTTATTTTTTATTGCAAATAATTGTGCCATTGAAAAAATATTTTAGAGATACTTAAATAATTTATAAAATATATAAAAATTAAAAATACATAGGGTATTAGACTATTAGTGTATTATAGCCTTATAGGTAAACTAGAGCATAAAGAGGTTTAAAAAAAAAAAAAAAACTAGAGCATAAAGAAAAGTCACAAAACTAACAACAAAAGCATCTTAAACCTATTTATGTGCTTAATTTTTTTGAAGACTCCCAACCATGTCTTCCCCACCCCAACCCTCTAATCATTTAGGGCATGTTCTCTTCAGGTTAAGTTCAGTTCAGTCCAATTCAGTTCAGTTTAGTTCATTTCCTAACTTCCTCCTCTCATAAAATATTCAGTTGAGTTGAGTTCAGTTCAGCTCAGCTCAGTCAATCAGAACATACCCTTAGTCTTCTCTTTTTCTTCTATCTTCCTCTTTACCATAAAAATAAAATAAATAAATAAATAACTCTACCAAATATAATATCAAACTAGGACAAATCTAACATTTTTTTAATAAGTGAGTTCAAATAACTATAGACACCTAATTAAAATGTCTCACCAAACCTAAACTCGGTGATGAATGACCTTTAACCGCTATTTGGTCAGGTTGAATGTCGGAATTAAGAGTTGCTCGAATTCCTATCCCATTTATATACCAATCCACATAATCAAATCTATTCCTATCATGAACATCCATTCACACCCTTTTCCTAGCCCAAATCTACAAACCATAACCCAATTTTCTCTTTTCATGATCACAACACAAAACTGAGAACATTTGATTTTTTTTTTTACCCTTAACTTTGATCCAAATCTGATTTTTTTTAATAAGCCTTGAAATAAGCATCCCAACGATATATCATAAGCCAAATTCTAATTTAAAATGAAAAAGATATATATGAGCAAAACACTAAAACTCGGACCAAAACTAACACCCTCACACTAAAACGACCATATCTTAAAAATCTACAAAATGTTTTGACCTAATTCCAATTGGGATGAAAAGTAGACTTAAATATCTTTCCAACAATATGTTATATACTTCTTATGTTCTTTTTTATTGCACCATAAGGGGTTTCACGCTTGTTAATGAATTACTTTAGCTATTAATATCTTTAATTATATTATACTTTTGTAAAATCTAAAAAAAATTGATCTTTGAAAAGTAGATTTCGAGATGAATTTAACTCAATTCCACATGACTTTATAAAAATTATTATTTTATAAAAAAAAAAGCCACCTTTCCCCAACTAATCAGACACCCTTTCCCTAACCAATCAACCACCACGCTTCGCCCCCCACCCACGCCGGCGCGCCAGCCCCCTTCCAACCATGAATCGACAACAACCAAAAGCGCTACTATACAACAACATCAATCAACCAAACACCTTCCCCGTCCTCAATTTCGATCTTCACCATCAGCAGCCGACATCTTTTTCGATCAATTCTCTTCCAATTCGTCCTTATCTCTCTTCGTTGAGATTTGATGAGTGATTTATTTTTCGTCGACCAAACAAACAATTGAGATTAGTAAGAGAAAAATTGGGGATTTTTAGGGTTAGGGTTTAGGGTGGAAATCGGGAATTGGGGAATCGGGGAAGGGGAGTCCGACAAGAGAGGGGTTACAGGTGTGGTTGCTGATTTCGGGGATGGGGATGAGAGGCTGGCGAATTTCGGGGGTGGGGGATGAGTGACTGGCGGTTTTCAGAGGTGAGGAAAAGAGGTTGGTGGTTTTTTGGGGTGGGAGGGTGAGCGGCGGGTGGTTTTCGGGGGTGGGGGATGAGCGGCTGACGATTTTTGGGGTGGAAGATGGAAGTGTTTTAGGGTTATTGAGGAAGGGTAAAGGTGTGGGATGGTCGCCGACGTTAAGGGGTTTGGGTGTCGGCAAGTCGGCAATGAAGTGAGGTGGAGCTGGCGGAGGGGAGGGGGGCTAGGGTTGGCTGGGGCACCGAAGGGTGGGGTTGGGTTTTTTTATTTTATAAAAATAATTTAATTATTTATTTTATAAAAATAATTTAATTATTTAAAAATAACGTAAAAACTAACTATGATTAATGAATTTAAATTAAAATAAGTATTATCTTTAATTTGGTAATCAAAAACTTAGGTTTACCAAAGATTATAAGAATTTTTCTAATTTACCACTAAGAAAAGTAAAAAGTATGGTGTTGCCAAAGAGAATTATATAAAAATTATTCATAAACTAACAAATTATGTGAAATTATAGATATTAGATTACTCATAATTTTTATATCATCTTTCTTATTTACAATAAATTATATTTTAAATATTTTGATATGAATTGTAATGTGAAATCCGGTGGAAAACTATTCTTTAAGTTATTCACTACTTAACTGCAATCCCTATCTTTCCCTATCTTTATAAATGGATCATATTTGATTAGTATTTAGCAAAATAATATTATGCGGTTTGCGTAAAAGAACCTTATGTTTTAGATAACATAAGTTTTGAACAAAATAACACAAGATTTACATAAAATAACACATAGTTTTAGCAAAATAGCATGTGACTTTAAGTTAAATAAAACCTTGATTTTTGGAAAATGAAGTAAAATTTTAAGTAAAATAACATAAGGTTTCAACAAAATAACACAAGGTTTTACCTTATAAAGATAACACTACTAGATTTTGCGTAAAATAATATACTGCTTGCATAAAATAACACAATATTTCAGCAAATTCTAAAATAACATCGATTCGATTGAATAAAATCAAATAGACATACTTAGCTCAAATTAACAGTACATTTTCAATTAATTAAATTAAAATAAAATACAAATTTAAATCTGCTTACTATGTTTTGCCCATTATTGTTCACGATTGTCGTATGTTTATATTATTCATGAATATCAACCATTTTTTATGTAGAGAAATTGATTATCAACTTCGATTGAGCAATTTTATACTTATTTGAGTGGTTAAAATAATAATTAAAAGAATTTTTGAGGTTTTTGTTGAGAAGAATGAAGGATTTAATTTGATGATGCTAAAATAGTGGGTTGGGATATTAGAGAGAGAAAAGGTTGGGAGAGAGAAAGTAGAGAGAAAAATGAAATTGAAATTTTAATTATTTAAGGTTTATTTTCAGTTATGTACTCTCACAATTTTTATGTTATTTTATTTTATAGATATGTTATTTCACTTATTATGTTGGAGTGCCATGAACATGGTACTCTAGTAGTACCTAATACTAATTGGACTATATTACCTTTTATACATTAATGACAATTTATGGTCAAAGTTTTTAAAGTTTGACCCAAAAAGTAACAATGGGGCAAAAATAAAGGGACTGAGAGAGTAACATACGAGTACTTCACAAAAATTAATTTTTAATAGTAATCAAGATGATAATTTGTACTGTATGAGCTAACAATAATACATTGATCTCAGGCAAGAGAACGATTACTTGCTGCTTGCAGATCTAGAAAGAAGGCGAGGACAGGAAAGTATTATCCAGAACCTATTATTCTCCCTGAAATCATCTTTAAAATATTATTACTATTTCCTGCTTCATTTCTTGTGGAGATTATGAGGTTTGTTTGCAAGGAGTGGAATGCTATAATCACTGACCCGCTCTTCGTTAGAGCACACCTTCACTCGTTTTTATCTCCTGGTCTCGGTGGTTTCCTTGTTTAAGACGACGATTGCCAAGATGCTAGGTTAAAGCAAGCCTTTTTTCTTTACCCTCCTCGATACAGTTGCACTAAACTCGAGCTTCCATTTCGAGCCATAATTTTGGGTTCTTGTAACGGTCTAGTCTTGCTTCAAAACTCCGCAATTCGAAGAGAGTTGTTTATTGTGAATCTTGTAACAAAAGCTAACATTAGTCTCCCTCCCCTCAACCTTGCAGGGGTATGCGTTCTTCGTAAACCTTGGTTAGACCTATGGATCTTCATGTAGCTTGTATGTTCTCGAAGGTTCGTAGATATTTCCCTCTTTGTGTTGTTGGAGACAATACACCATTGCTTATAAGTTTGAAAAATGGAGATCTTTGGTTTTACTGTCAAGTGTATTTACAATTTAGGTTGGTTATGTACAATTGGAAGACGAGGAATATGGATTTACCTCCAATTAAATGGCGATGGCGTCTTGCCCTCCCACATCTCCATGTTTTTAGCTTGCTATCACCGAAAAAACTCTAGCTAGTGTTGTAGTTCAATGCAAGCATGTGGGAATGGATGTTCAATAATGGATACTCCTTTTCTTTTGAAAGTTTTGGATTTGCTGTTGTATTTTCTTCATTATGCATATTAACGCTTAATATGTACAAATCTATTGTGATTCCATCGGATCAACTCTTGAAAAGAAAAAAAAACAGAGATCGAGAAAGTAACAATTCTACAATGTCATTCTTTAAAAATGACACCACAATTTAATAATGTGGCAAAATATAATTGGCCTATATCTTGTATTTTTATTTTCATTTTGAATTATTTTTAATGTCCACATTGAATTATTTTTTGTATTATTTTTAATACATGCATTTTTAAAAAAAATACATAATTATAAATTATGAAAATGTAGTTTTATAATATAAATTAATTTTCAAATTTATAATTATAATTAGAATTCATCGTGATAAGAATTGTTCATTATCGTTCATCGTTCATCATGTTCAATCATCATCATTAATCGTTCATCATCCTTGTTCAATCATCATCGTTCATCATTGTTCTATCATTATTCACTAGTGGAAAAATTGCTATTAGCTGCACCCTATTAGCAACTGGCGTTATATACGTAAGCTACTAATACCTAAATTGCAACCGGCTAAACTAATGTCAGTTACAAATACTATGTCATTAGCAACTGGCCTAATAATGTACGTTGCTAATATTTGAAGTTTAAAAATTATAATTTACATTAGCAACTGGCCTCTATTTCGCTAGGTGCAAATACAACAACATTCGCAACTGGCGCTTAAATGAAGGCTGCTAATGATATTTAAGTAAATAAAAGAATAATCAATCGCATCTGGCCTATGAAATGCACGCTACAAATAATAGGTCATCAAAAAATTTTGACCAATTGTATTGTAGCTAACATTGTAATGCCAGCTGCTAAAAAATTCCTTCCAATAATTTAATTTAATTAACCCGCCTTCTTTCTCCTAAAAAAATCAAAACCCGCGCCTTTGTCTTCTTCTCCATTTTCTGCTAAACATTCTTCTTTCTCCATTCACCATTTTCGCTATATTCCATTTTCGCTCAGCCCAAAGTTTGTTACTTTGCTCAGCCCTCTTCATCCTTTTATCTCCTAACATATTTTCGCTATCCTCAATTTTCGTTCTGCACTCCATTGAAGAAGCTAGCTAGAACGAAACCCTAATTAGTAGAACCTAGTTTGCTCACAAAGAACCCATATCTGCTTTTCCCTCACAAAGAACCCCAATTGTCCTCCATTTCCGTTTCTACCAAGAACCTAGTTATGCAGTTTCCTCACAAAGATCCCCAATTTGTGACAACATTGGAATTTCCGACAGATTTGGGGATTCTTCAATTTGTTCAGGTAATTTCATAATTTTTAGAGGTATTTCTAATTAAGGTTCTAAATAGGGGTTTTCATGAAATTTTGCATAAAATTAGTTAGGTTTTCATGAAATTAGTGAAATTTTGGGGAATTTGCTGTCAATTTGCTGCAATTAAAAAACCGGGTCATCAAAGGATTAAAAAAAACATTTTTTGTTTAATTTATTCGTGAATTTGCTGCTTCTGGCTTTCTCTAGGTTTTAATTATTGTAATTGAAACTAAATTTATTTTGTTTGGAGTTAATATCAATTTGCTTGGCTTCTAATTTTTATTTAATTTGCTGTAGCTTAATATGGTGAATATTTCGGCTTGTGAATCCTAACTCATTATACTAACTTCAAGTACTCTATTGCTTAAACAATCAACAGTAACACACAGTCCAATACACCCTCTTATTTTACTTGCAAATGCATAACTTGGATAGTGAATATCTAGAGTTTCAACTATCTATAAGTAAAGGGGACTGGGTCTGGATAGATTTTCTGTTCCGAAAAACAAATTTTTGATAAATTTATAATCTTATACAAAGTATTGTATTTTTGTGATTAATTGCATAATATGAGGTATGTCATAGTGTAATCTTGATTTGTTGAGAGCATTGATATTCATAATCTATGCAACTTTGTTAACGATTGTTGTTTTAAATTTTAGTCATTATGTTTCTTCTAAATTTAAGTCTTTATGATGATTATTATGAATTTAAATCTTTATGCATGATCGAATATTATAGGTACTGATTATTTTTTCCTGGATTTTTGTTTCATTAATGTTGGTAGTATGATCTTTACCAAGCAGGATGATTTGAAAATTTTGTTAGTTGATTGGCAAATGCATGGTTTTTTGTTAGGGTTTATACTGCGTACAAGTATTAGTTTGAAGCAATTTCAAATCATCTATCATACTACATAAAACATAATTATGGGTTTTTCCCTGGTTTTGTATATTAATAAATATATAGTAGTATGATTATGGCCATAATGGATGTACGCAACTCTTTGATTTCATTGATAACTTCCATGAAAATAATCAATAATCATATTGTTATCTTAAGCAGTTTTAAGAGGTCAGATCATAATGGGGTTGCAACTTTTTGTTTTTCTTTTTTAAAGGTTGTCAGTTGAATGCATATGAATTTGTGGTTTATTTGGTATAGGTTAACGTGTGACTACTTATATCAGACATGATTTACGTAATTAACTCATTATAATTTTTATGCCTGTATGTAAATTTTAAAAATAATTTATATACTATATGAATTATGATGATTTAAACACTATATGTACATGCACATGATTTAAAAATAATTTTTGTGCAATATGATATGATGGGAAAATTGCTATCTATTAAGCACTATATGTACATGTACATGTCAATTTGTACTAGCTTTTCCAACAGGGTGTATGTTTCTATCATTGTGTGTGCTTAAATGGCTGTTATTTCTCGTCTGCGTGCTTGCTTCTGGTGACGTGTGAGTAGAGGTTACATGTGTGTATGTTTGTTTGTGCTAACATGAGTATATATATAACCCAATAGCATTGCTTGAGCTTCTTCCGGTATAGTAGAAGTATCTATAACTCTAGTTGGTTCCTTTTTGCTGGCCACTGCCAGTTTTGCATCTAGTTCTTCTTCCTGATTGGACAGAAGCATCTTTATCATCACAAGTCCCCATTAAATCTCTGCCAATATATTCTATTATCACCTCTCCACTATGTCGATTTCATGGTTCCTCTATTTCGGTGCAAGTGGGCTGACAAACAACGTGGTTAGAGAATAGATGACATTTTTGGCATGACTTTGGTGGATTCTAGTCGTTTCAATGATGGAGAAGAGCCCTTTGTTTTAGCATCACAAGCTAAGCAAATTTTCTACATCGTAGACAACATTGATCCTCAATGGCACGTAGTTGTTCAAGGCAAAAGACGTATTGTTGGTGTTGAGGAAGTTGTAGACGAAGATGAGTATGACCTATTTGATGAGACACCACCTTTATATATCGGTGTTCAACCTTTGAGAGATGGAGAAGATATTGTGGAAGATGAAGTCTTTGATCGAGAAGAAGGGATGGTTGTTGATATGTTGTCTACGATGTAGAGAATGAATCTGATGGTTTTTGTTAGGTCTGTCTAATTAATTTTTCCATTCATTTTTTAAATATAATCTGCTAATTTTCCGCTATTGATAATCTTCTTCTGTTGCTAATCTCCTTCTGTTAATTAATCTCCTCCTATTAATATTCTGTTAACCTGTTAATCTGCTACTGCTACTGCCTGTTTCACTACTGCTGTTAATATGCTTATGTTAATTTGCCGCTGTTAAGTGGCTGCTTCTGCCTAATTGATATTTACGTATTTGAACTATTTCTTGCAGGTACTATCCTTTTAGCGGATTTAGCTTATATGGATGACCAAATGCAAGAGCAAGATTCTGCCAATGCTAATGCTTCAACAAGGGAAACAACATCAAAAAAGGCAGAGGTCCTTCTAAGTGTTTACAAAACACACAGCCTATGTTCCTTGAATTTAATGCTCTAGACTTACCAACTGGTAAATGGGAGAGCGCTTATGGGAAACAAATTGGCCTCTGTGCTAAGAGAATTGACATTAATGTAAAAGAATATCTGAAGATGGGTAAGGTAGAGAAGGACAACTATTGGGAAGAGACAAAGGTACAAAACATATTTGTATGATATTTTTAATAAAAAAAAGTACATCATTGTAATTGTTGTACAAAATATTAATTATTTGCTTGCTTTGGGAAATTCACAGCGTAAGTTCCACATTGAGGACCCAAATGGAGTGAGAGAAAAAAAATTTCATAGAGCATTGGGTGCTCGTTTCAGATGCTATAAGTCAAAGTTGAGGGCTCGTTTCATCTATTTGACGAATCCATACCCCCCTAACTCTCCTAAAGCACATATGAAGCCATGGGAGGTGTATGAAGGTTACTTCACGGAGGAACAATGGAAGGAATTTGAGGTTTATACTAACGCAGCAGAATTCAAGGTAAAACGAGACTTGTGTGTATAGAAACAATTAATAAATTAATATTGACATTTTTGTAATTTATGCTACATTTGTTTTTCCAAATAGGTGAAAAGTGAGAAAGGAAAAGAAAGTGCACAGAAAAACAAATCCACACCACTTAGGTCAAAATAGTTATGGGAGGGCTCGAAAAAAATGGGAAAATGACAAAAGACTCCCCATCTCCGAATTGTCGGGAACTGAAAATGAGAGTAGTGCCTCAATCACTTCAGTTTTTGATGCTCGTTCACTTCAGTGGCTTTTAGCACGTGAAAAGAGAATGCCAGATGGAACTTGGGCTGTTGACCCTAAGGAGTCTGAAACTGCTCGAGTTGCTGCTTTAGTTGTAAGTAGTAGTGTTTGAATATTACTTGCTTGCATGTTGCATATGGTGCTTTAACTTTCAAGTTTGTTGGCCTAGATATGTAATGAAATGCATGTTGTTATCTTCTGCTAGAAATTTTATGTTTGTTTCACTGTGTATTCTTGGTGAGTGAAAACGTTACCTTATAGTTGAATTCTGGTCACCTAAGTGGAATTATAACAAGTCCCATATCCATAGTGAATTGTGGAGTCAAGAGTAACATAGAATCCTTTCTTTTATATATATATTGTGTTAATCTTCTTGCACTTCTTTTTATTTCACTTTTCTGTTTTAAACAAGAGGAAGATACTATGTACTTGTATATTTTAGTTCTGGGAGATTGGTTAGACTTTGGCCTTGACAACCATAGATTTATCTGCTAGATTCTGATCATGCTTCAAAGATACCATTATTGCAGAAAAATACACCTGTTATATTACTCTACCATGAATAATGCTTATGTACCTTTAAAATAGTTTATTCACCCTATATATTTTCATAATGGCAGAAGGAGAATTTGGAAAAACAGGCTAAAGAAAAAGAGGAAGGATCAGTTGTTGTTGATAGGGTTGACAGAGGCATTGATGCCCTCGCCATGGCTTTTGGCAAAAAGGATCATAGTGGATTTGTGAAAGGACTTGGTGGGTGTGGGATTGGTGTTGGATTTGCTAAAGCATTTGGCCCTTCAAATCGGAAAGGAAAAAGATTTGAAGGTTGTCCATACGATGAATTAGAGGTAATGAAAGCTAAGTTAGCCCATGATTTTGAAGCAAGGTTTAGTGAAAGAGTGGCTGAAGAGGTACAAGCTTATTTAGCTGCATTGATACCAAATTTCACTAGCGTTATGATGCCAAGTAAAAATGATCTTCATGTGGCATACTCTAATGCCTTGTCTAATCAAGTAAATGAAACGTCATGCCCGCTTTATCCTCGGCATTTTGAACTAGAGGTATATAATCATTACATAATACTTTATGTTAGTGATGTTTCAAGTGTATAATATCCAAATTCTTATGTCAATGTAGGTTGCAACTAAATGTCATCTTGCTTTGAATGATGAATTTTATGGAAACTTAGTTTTTGTGGCGGAAGAAAAGGTACAACCGTGCCCCAATGGAGTGACACACAACAATAAGATGAAGTCGGACCACTATAGGGTTAGTGTAGACTACATTTATAGTGAGTATGCCCTGCTTGATCTTCCGGTCACAACAGATGATGGTATTTCTAAGTTGGGTGAAGCTAAAGGTTACTTTGTAGAATGGCCTAAAGATTTGGTGGTCTTTGAAGAAAAGGTAAAACTTCCACCAAAAACAACTGCAAATAAAGTACCTTCTTGCTAAATATTTATAACACTTTGCTTATTATTTTGAAGGATCATGGCTCATCATTGTTCGATCGTCATCGTTCATCATTGTTCATGAATCATGTCATAGATTAGCCCCCTATTCCCAAACTCAATGTTAGTTGTTGATAAATTCGCAAATCCCAACTAAAATCGATAAAATTCGAAAACAAATTGTGTGTTTGTATTTTGTTTTTTTGCAGTTTTTTTATTTTAGTGTTTCGTTCGTAAAAAAAATCTCAATAACAATCTCATTCATAAGTATTTTCAAAGGACAAATTCCGCTTTAAATGGTTCAAAAATATGATTTATGTGGACTTAAATTGTGCAATTTTGTCAAAGAACAAGGAGTGTCAAGTTTGTAGAAGATGGAGTGAGTCGAATTTTTTTACCTACCGCAACCCCTATTTGATCTTATAAATGTAATTAAGTTTTTTCGAAGTTGTTTGTGGGTTAGGTAATGACTTAAACTATCTTTGGTCATTACATAAGATTTGATAAAGAACAATATATAGCTAATAACAAAAAAACAACGTGAATAAAAGCTAATAACAAAAAAAAAAAAAAGGTGAAACAACAAAAGCTAATTTAAATTTTTTTTTTGGTAAACTCTAATATGTGAAGGTTTTTTGATATATATTTTTAAAAATATTATCTTAAATGTCATTAACGATTTGAGAGAGAATATTTCTCTATAAAATTGCTAAATAAATGGGCAAATCATATAACAAAGCTATATTTGTATAACTTTGTACAGAAATATATATATATATATATATATATATATATATATATATATATATAATATATATATATATATATATATATATATATATATATATATATATATATATATATATATATATATATGACAAAAATGTGTTTCTTAACAATGATAAAAAGGATGGGTCCTAAAATTATGGATGTAGATGTACACGATTATACAACACGTAATTTAAGAAAGTTATCATTATCTAATATATAGCTAATAACAAAAAAAAACAAGGTGAATAAAAGCTAATTAGGAATATCCCAATATTATAGCCACTAATTTATATGCCAAGATTTCAAAAATATTTTTTCCAAAATATAATAAGATAATTATCCCATAAATATTTTTTGCTAAAATGATATGATAAAAATTCCAAATATATTTTTTTCAAAATATAATAAGATAATAATCCCAAAATTTTTTTTTGCTAAAATTATATGATAAAAATTCCATAAATTGTTTTTTTGTTATACGATTAGCATACAAGTAGATTCCAACTACAAAAGTAAAACTAAATTTTTAAGGTAATGACCTCACTATATATAGGTGATTACCTAAACACAAACAGATTACAAAAATCGGAAAATAAGATTCTAGATCAAACAGTGCGGAAAAAAAAACTCGAACTCTAAATCGAAGAGCAAACCCTCGTTATCCATTCATCGTTTAAAAAAATGAGAGATAGACATTTTACATCATCATAATAAACGTTCCTAATGCTTTTTTCATTCTCAAAACTATCAAATAATATGATTTTTACACTAATCAAATTAATCAATCCAACCCTAAAACAAAATTTGTAAACGAATTTGGACGGGAATTTGGACGGAATTTTGGTCAAAATTTTTATCTTCGTTGCGAATAGATAATACAAGATTATGGTAGTGGGTTAATTACTATCATGAATTAAGATTGATGATGAACAATGATGATTTTTTTAATTTCTAGATTTTAATTATAATTTAATTTTGGAAAATGATTTTAATAAGAAAAAAATAAATTTTAAAAAGCTATAATTACATATTTTTTTTTAAAAAAAATACATGTATTTACAATAATAAATACATGTATAGTATATTTATGCTTTTAAAAATAAATAAAAAATTGACCAATCATAACATGACACATCATCATGTTATGGTGTCATTTTTGAAAAATGACATAGTAGAAACTGAGGTGGGGGCAATTGTCTACGATGCACCAATCGAACCAAAGAACACAATTGGGCTTGGGACTAAGGTTTACCTTAAAAACTTTTCTCATGCATTTGTAGAGCATTGGTAGAATAGTTGTGACTGTTGCAATGTTTTTCTGAATGAATTTTGAAATTATGGTAGATTGGAGTTGGAATTGCTCTCGTGGTCTTCGGCCTTGTTTTTGATTTGGGAGATTTTTGGTCTTGTTGATGTAGTAATGTATTTTATCTAGGGCTGGGCTTCTTCTCGTGCTTCAGCAAATTTTGAGCTAGCCTAATCATCTGAGTACGATAAAATCTTTTTCGTATAATAGGCTTTTCTCGGTTCTCTCTCTTTGTTACTTCATTTCCACCCGTCTTAATCATGGTTCACAGTAGTTTTGTGATATGATTAATAATCATCTACATAATTATTAATCTTGTTCTTTTCGATACTTGAAAACTGAAACAAGAAAATCAAGAGGGTACTGCTACCGACCTACCGTCTTCTCCATCCGGCAGCCCAAGTTGACTGCTAGCCAAAGGAATCAGTAACTTTGGCCATGTACTGGTTCCTTCATTCAGTAATTACTGTCACCTATCGGATATTAGTACCGGTAGTTGAAGACAATTATTGACAGGAGAAGACGGAAGTACAATGCTATGATTTTTAAAACAAATTTGAATAAACTAGGAAAGCCATCGAGCGGTACAGCTAGCCATCGTGGGGAAGTTATGCATTTGAGCCTTATAAAGTGGTCCATGCATTCCTTACCTGAGTACTGGTAGCTCACACCTCCATTCCCATATCATCTCTTACAACCATGCTAAGGCCAACACCAATATCCTTATTGAGTGTAGCATTAACATCAAGCTTAAACATACCTAACTCTGTAAGTCTGTATAATGCCATTGTAAGTCCTGATGATGTCCAATAATATGTTTCACCACACCTAAAGCACTCTGCTTCGCCCTAAAAAAAAAATTATCTAAGTCAAGGCTGTCCTCTTTTTGAATTGGTCTCATGCATTTTTCTATTACATGTAAGAAACACAAATTTGGTTCTATCTTTCTTATTCTAAAAGAAAGTAGTTCAGCAGGTATTAAAGGACTTGGAGTTCTTGTTTATTGCCAACTATATATCTCCGAATCGAACAATAATGAATTTACAGTGTATGTATCTTGCACCTTCTTAAAAGCATAAACAATCGTGGGGGCTGGGAGAATTAATGTAATATCCCGTATTTTTATGTATTTTTATAAATTATTTAAGTATTAATAAAATGTATTGTTAGGGCTCAAGTGTTTTTATTAAATATTTTAAAGGGTTAAAATATTTTAAATATAAGGTTTTATAAAGTAAAATATATTTTGGGCCAAACGTTTATTAATTATTGGGCAATGTAAATTATTCCTACATACTCTTATTGGAATAATCCATTCCAAAACCCATAACTTAAGCCCACATTTTTATATGCCCAAATTTAACCCTACACTCTCCACTCTATAACTACCCCATGAATCCCCAAAATTTCCCACACAAAAGGTTAGTCTTATTTTCTTTCTCCTTTGTTTTATTAATTTGTGTAATTATAATTATTGATTTATGGGTTTTGATTTTATTTTTTGAAATTAATTTAATTGGTATCAAATTGTATTTTTGATGATTAAACTTTATAATTTTCAGATTTTGTAAATTTATAACCTAGGGTTTTAATCATTGAAAATAATGATTTTAGGGTTTTTATGAACAATTGATTTAGGACTTTTATAGTAATGATGTTTTAAAAATTTGGTGATTATAAGTACTGATTAGTTTAACTTAATTTCAGATTGTTTTGAACACGTAAATTTGTGTTTTAATTATTAGATTTTCGTTCGTTAATATTAATCCCGTTTTAATCCTGATCAGGTTCTGAACTCATCCGATTTTGATAAAAAATAAACAGTGTTTTTCGTGTGGAAACAACGTTCTAAGAAAGACTCATTACCTTTGGTAGTGAGCACCACCCTCTCGTGGCCAAATTCAGTCTCTAAATATGATTTTCGGGCAGTTTTTGATTTTTAACGAAGTTTTTTTTATGCTTTAAATTTTATCCTTGAGATTAAAGGGTAAAAGATAATTTAGTGCTTCTATGAATAACTTAATTATAAATATGTATTTTGATGAAGTTTTAACAGGGTTTTTTTATTAGGTTCTAAAAACCAGTAAAAAAAACCCTAGCCTCCTTTTATCTCTTCTCTCTCCTAAACCTAGTCTCCATTGTTAATTTTAAGGGGCTTCCATCGGATTTCACCGATGGAAAGCCCCAATCTTTAGTTTCTTTTAAGCTTTTTAATTTGTTTTAGGTTACAATAATGTCTCCCTCGAAAGAAAGGGTTTATCTCCTTCGAAAGATAAGGTTTTTTCGATCTCCTTCGAAAGACAAGGTTTTTCGTACTCCTTCGAAAGACAAGGTTTTATTTGTGCTTAATTTGGTCTCCGGTTGTGTGGGGCTACTATTGGTTGTGGCTCGAATTCGAGTTACGGAATCAATACAAGAATTTACTTTCTCACAAAATTGCGAAGCGATGACGGATCCACTCAAAAAGTTGTATGAGACAACGAATCGAGAATATGCCGAATTGTTATATTTATGTATTTGGATTCTTAGCCCTTCCCCGATTAATTCTTGTTTGATTTTGTTAAATTAGTTTTCATTATCTTTCATTGTCAATTGTAGATGTCGTATGACTTACATTAATGAAATTTAGGTCCTTTTAGGACTTTTTTCAAAAAAAAAAGGGTTTTTTTTATTAGTTTAAAATGCTGGAATTTTATTTAAAGTAGTATAATTGTGATTTTAATAAAAGGGTGTGATTACCCATTAAAAAAGAGTTTAATTAGGGGTTTTTAAAATAATTTTCAGATTATTATAAGTTATTTAAAGCGAGTTTAAGTTGCTGGAAATTGTGTATACAAGGGTAATTAATATAGTATTATTGTCCCTTTATGTAGGAGACTTGGTTCGAGAATTGTTGTAGAGTACTCGGTTATTTTAAGAGCTTATTTGAGGTACGTTCGCGTACTTAGTATATTTTGGTGATGTAGTATTATGCTAGGCTTGATTTAAATCAATTACAAGTAGTATCATGCTAAGGTCTATGAATGGAATTGTGAATTATTGGTGTTGGTGATTGAATTGTGAAGCATGAAGTATTTGTGATGGTTTATGGATTGGAA